AGTGAAAGACACATTGGTTTTGTACCTAAGACCGGAGTAGAATTCATCCTGTCTGGCTTTCTAGCCTGATGCCTTAACCAGAGGTGGTATTCAGCAGGTTGTGACCAGTTCTGGAGAACCGGTAGCGGAAATTTTGAGTAGTTCAGAAAATTGGTAAATACCACCTCTGACTGGACCCACTCCCATCTATTTATTATTTTATTTATTATTTATTAGTCATATTTCTATGCCGCCCACTCTCTGAGGACTCTGGGTGGCTTACACCAAAGACAGTATACTAAAGAACATATTGCCCCCAATAATCTGGGTCCTCATTTTACCCACCTCGGAAGGATGGAAGGCTGAGTCAACCTTGAGCCGGTGAGATTTGATCCGCTGATCTGCTGAACTAGCAGTCAGCTAAAGTAGCTGCAGTACTGCACTCTAACCACTGCACCACCTTGGCTATTCTCTGCCACCCGAGTCCCAGCTGATCGGGAGGAAATGGGGATTTTGCAGTAACCTTCCCTTGGAGCGGGGAGGGAATGGAGATTTTACAGTATCCTTCCCCTGCCACACCCACCAAGCCACGCCCACCAAGCCATGCCACGCCCACCAAGCCACGCCCACAGAACCGGTAGTAATTTTTTTTGAATCCCACCACTGGCCTTAACAACTACACCAAACTGCTCTCTGTTATAAGACTAGATGTTTTTTTACAGGATCCAATCTGTTTCTTATTTGTCTTTGTCCTCTCATTTTTCTACTTTTCAAGAACTTTTTAGTTTTCCTTTAATGAAACACATTAATCTAATATATCATTTATGTTGAAGTATTTAAGTTTTCTGTATTTAATTTTATTTAGTTAGTTCTGATAGGGACTGGTCAAAAAAATCAAGATGGTATGCCCAATGGGGCAATTGAAGCAACTGGATTAATAAAACCATGTATTTCACTAATGTATCTGTGTATGACAAATGTTACCAAAGTTCACATTTATTGAACTTCAAAAATGTTCTTCAATAAGCTTTTATTAAGGGATTTGAGGGTATGTCACTGGAGCATTTATCCTTAATAAATAAGGCATGAACAGATACAAAAAAATAACAGATTAACAGAGTTGGAAGGAACTTGTAGGTCATCTATTCCAACCCCGCACCCAAGCAAGAGACTCTACACCAGTTTTGACAGATGGCAGTCCAGTCTCTTCTTGAAAGCTTCCAGTGGTGGAGCAGTCACAACTTCTGAAGGCAAGCCATTCTACTGATTAATTGTTCTCACTCTCAGGAAATTTCTCCTTAATTTTAGGTTGGTTCTCTCCATTGCTTCTTGTCCTGACTTTTAGTGCTTTGGAAAATAGGTTGATCCCCTCTTCTTTGTGGAAGCTGCTCAAATATTGGAACACTGCTATCATGTTATTACTAGTCCTTCTTTTCACTACATTAGACATACCCAGTTATTGCAACCGTTCTTCATATGTTTCAGTCTCCAGACCCCTAATCATTTTTGCTGCTCTAGTAGACATAAGAAGAATAATGGCTGAAGGAAAGTAGCTTCATACAATTATTTGGAAATGCTTGCATTTTGATTCATAAGTACATATATTACACTACCCTGTTGCTTTAATACTAAATGCTATTTTTCCTTTGAAAATTGGATTCTTTTCTGAAACTTTCTTATGTCTGTTTCTTTCTTTTAGGGAAGGAACACTTGGCCTCATTTTGTAGTTACTGTATGTTCTTTATGCAGTTGCTATTTTGACTCCCTCTGCACTCTTTTTTAACAAAAAGAAATGTTAAAACATTTGATTTAATGCAAGAGCATCAGAATAATTTATGCTTAGGTTTTATATAAATCTGTATCTGTTTACCCTAACATTCATTATTATATTTTTGGTGCTTAATCTCTGAACTCATACAATGTATTTTTTTCCTTAATTAAAACCTGCCATTTCTCTATAATATAGCAGATGGCAGTGACAAAAGTGATTATGGGACATGACTTTTGAATATATTACTTCATAAAACATCTTAAATGCTTTATAAATAGCAACAGCTGTCAGATATACATATGGGGAAAAAAAGATCTTTCAGAAGAATATCTGAGTTTCCACTGTAGAATTTGGAATGAAATTATAGTTCAAAGGTGTTCTATGAAATTTCTGAAATCTGCATTTCTTTTCAATATTGTTCTTTAAAGAAGTTTATTAGGCTCAAGGTGTTAGTTACACGCACCATTAAGCACAAAGCATGAACATAAAGTACCTTCTGTTCTTTGGCAGTAGTAAGCTACTTTTGAATAGTTTTCTTTTTTAAAATGTCAGAAATCACATATGGTAGTTAGTAGGGTTATCTGCATATCATTTTAACTGTTTTAACTGTTTTCTTACTAGTTTATTGACAATCTTATTGTTTAACAAATTTCTCCATCCCTTGCATTTTAAAGGGGCAGCACAGTGGCTCAGCAGTTAAGACGCTGGGCTTAATGGCTGGAAAGCTGGCAGTCCAGGTTCGAGACCCGAACACCATATGATGGGGTGAACTTCCATCTTCAGCCCAGGCCCTGCCAATCTAGCATTTTGTAACTATGCAAATGCAAGTAGATAAATAGATACCACTTTGGTGGGAATGTAACAGAGCTTTGTGACATCATGCTGGCCACATGACCACTGAAATGTCTTTGGACAGCACTGGCTCAATAGCCTTGAAATTGAAATGATAACTGCTAACTATAGTGGGCAATGATAGCAGAGTAAAATCTGCAAGGATTTCTTGCATTTTAAAGCATATACTTAAGACATATTAAAAACTTAGTCGGGCCTGTTTCAATGTCTGGTTGCTCAGTCTTCTCCCAGATTAAGTTTCTACTTTTACAGCAGTTACATCATTCTAACATGTCTGTGTTCCTAAATTCAAGCCGTTAATTGGATGACCCCATTACAATCTTTTTAGTTATTTATTGCAGCAAGAGGTCTCAAAATATTTCACTTTTAGTCTGAATACCAAGCACATTTGCTGTACATATTTATAAGGGAATCTTAATGGTTTATGGAATCAGTTGGAAAGGATCATTTAGGTTACTGATTCCAATCTCTCACTTCTCTCACTAGTGGACAATCACTTGTCCGCTAGTGTTTAACAGCAGTCAACAAAAAAAGCCAGTGCAATCCTAGGTTGCATTAACAGAGGGACAGAATCAAGATCACATGAAGTACCAGTACTGCTTTATAAAGCCTTAATAAGACACTTACTTAGAATACCAATTCCAGTTTTGGTTATCATATTATATATTAAAAAAAAGATGTAGAGACTCTGAAAGAGTGCAGAAAAGAGCAACAAAGGTGATTAGGGGTCCGGAGGCTGAAACATACTCTATGAAGAACAATAGCAGGAATTGGGTTTGCCTAGTCTAATGAAAAGAAGGACTAGGGGTGACATGATAGCAGTGTTCCAATATTTGAGGGGTGCCACAAAAAAGAAGGGGTCAACCTATTTTCCAAAGCACCAGAAAGCAAGCCAAGAAGCAATAGATGGAAACTAATCAAGGAGAAAAGCAACCTAGAACAAAGGAGAAATTTCCTAAGAGGGAGAACAATTGGAGTGAATGGCTTGCCTTCAGAAGTTGTGGGTGCTCCATCACTGGAGATTTTTAAGAAGAGACTGGACAGCCATCTGTCTGAAATGGTATGAGGGTCTCCTGCTTGAGCAGGGGATTGAACAAGAAGACCTCCAAGGTCCCTTCCAACTCTGTTATTGTATTCTGTTTTCTTCTATTCTGTTCTGTTTACCTTCTGTAGTTTCTAGAATTCATCAGTATATGTAGTCATAATCCTAGTCACAAATAAACTTATATTAATAAATGAATTCATGTAAATCCTCCATGACTTCACTCCATATAATTAACAGTTCTATAATTGGATTATATAGAGACGTATATGAATAACTCTTATTTTTCTTGAGTTTCTTTGCATTCAAAATGTGGCAAGTGGCCCAATTAAGGTTTTGCTATAAACTTATATTGTTTAAGTTTAATGTTTAAGTTTAATGTGATTTATATGCCGCCCTATCTCCGATGGACTCAGGGTGGCTCACAACAGTAAAATACACAATGACATTAATGCAATATAAAATTAAAAGTCTGAATTAAGACAGTTTAAAATCAGTTTAAAAACTATTCAGAAACTCCCCCCCCCTCATCAGTCCAGGCTACAAAATAACCAGGTGTTCAAATCACGGCGAAACGAGCGAAGGTCAGGGGCCATCCGAGCTCCAAAGGAAGTTGGTTCCAAAGGGTGGGTGAGCCCACAGAGAGAAAGCTCTCTCCCTGGGGGTCGCCAGCCGACATTGTTTGGCCGACGGCACCCTGAGGAGGCCCTGTCTGTGGGAACACACCGGGTGATTGGAGATTGTTGCTGGCTGCAGGAGGTCCAACAAATATCCCAGACCTAAGCCATGAAGGGCTTTATAGGTGATAACCAGCACCTTGAACCTCACCCAAAGGGCAACCGGTAGCCAATGCAGGCCACGCAAGAGGGTGTAACATGGGAGTGTTGGGACACTCCCATCACAACCCGTGCGGCCACATTCTGCACCAGTTGAAGACTTCGAGTGGTTTTCATGGGCAGCCCTAGGTAAAGAGCGTTGCAGTAGTCGAGATGGGATTGTATTTTTTCAGCCATAGTCATTCTGATTTATGCAAAAGAAAAAAAAACATTCTCCCTACCCTACCCCACTTCAAAGGGAAACTTATTTTGAAAAAAAATATATCATGGTGGAAATGTGTGGATATTGCTTTTATAGATAGTGTAAGAAATGTGTTTTATTGTGAAAGTATCTCTCCAATAGATAAGGGACTGCTTGAGTAAGTCCTGATCGATCCATGATTGGATCTTCACAATTAGAATCTGAACTTCCCCTTGCCCAATTGTTGCAACTCATTAAACATTTTAAGGCACGTGAAATGAATGCAAACAAAAATGTAATTAAGATCTAATTTGGAATATAACATTGTTTCTTTTGCAGTAAAGACATGTGGATCTAATCTACAGGGACCAGGTGGCACATTCACATCCCCCAATTTTCCTTTCCAGTATGACAGCAATGCTCAGTGTGTTTGGGTTATCACAGCCATCAATCCAAATAAGGTAAGTTTACCCGTGAGAGTGGTTTAAGCACCAGTATCAAATGATAAATTAGAAAATCAATAAGAAGTAAGAAAGAAAGTTAGAAAGATTAGTTCATTTGAGACAATGTGTGTGGGCATTGGAGCGGTGCAGTGTTTTGGATTTAAAGAAAAAAGATACTTCAGAGTACTGATATAACATTGATTGGCAATTGATTAAAGCAACTGCATCTTTCCCCAGAATTACCCTTTTACCCTCCACAACTACTGGATAATGTATGGAAAAAAGAATGCACTTGGTTTTATGAAGCTACAAAAAAAGGCCAAGTTGTCCTAGACAAACTTGAGATTGATGAAGACAATAAGAGCTGCAATTACAAGCTTGAGAGCTTGGTGGTTTTTTTTTTTGTTTTTTTTTTTTTTTGATGTACTGTAAATCCTGAGGCAGTAATAAGTGTTTGCCATTTCTTCAATGAGCAAGCATATTCAATCAGATTTTAAAAAAAAAAAGCTGTAATCATGCCAAGTTCTGCAAGTTATGAGCCAGGGGAGTTTGAAGCCAGAAATTGTGAGGAGACTATCTCAAGACACTCTGTAGGTCGGGTGCTAGAAAGTTTCACAAATGACTGTCCAAAAGCCAAGGCAAAGGACACAGAGAAGGAGGTATTTGAAGCAATGTGTCACAGGAAGACAGGTCTGGAATGTGAGAATTGCTTTCAAAAAGGAGATCTGAACAATGCTCTTGAGTAGCCAGAATCCATGTTCTTCTTACAGGAAGTAATAATCATTCCTCTTAAGGAGCTGGACCAACCTTCACTGCTCAGCCCTTTTTAACCTGACAATGGGATAAAGTATGATTTAGGGCTTGGCACTTTCACAAGGTCAGATGGTGAGATCTTACTATCAGAATCTACAGCGTCCTGTATTAACTCAGACCCATCACTTACAAGTGATGACAAATCTCTTGACCTACTAGCTACATATTCACAACATCCTCTTATTCAGGATCCACATGAAGGAGTCAGAAACATCCATATCACATGCACACTCAAATATGATTTGAAGTACCTTTGTCCCTTCAAATGCAAGCCACAACTTGTTCAAATGTTTGAGAAACATTATGATGAACATCTGTGGAATTCTGCAGGATTGTTGCGGCTGAAGCCTGTTATAATCATGTCATGGTGGAATATAGTAAGATATCACTCTTTCTTATGGATTTATCTTTAATCTACCTTCTTTAGCATATCACTAGAGGTAGTAATTTTCCAATAATAGACACATATATTAAAGTTATTAACCCAAATCTTAGGTTTGTTTCATTTCGTTTAGTTTTAGATTTATTCTAGCATAATTCCATAATTATAACCTTCATATAATGTTCTATATGTTTGTTCTATATTTGGCTGAGAGACACAATCAGAATTATATAGAGAAACAAAGTGGATAGAAAAAATGTTGTCTCTCTCTGTATTGATATTTTTAATTGCAAGAAGTAGCAATTTCTATTCAATTAGCTGAGATTAAAAAAAAAGTACTGAAGTACAAGAAAAACACTACATTTATATATTTAAAGGAAACAAAACATAAAATAGGTATCTGAAAGAACATTCATGTTAAAAAAGTGACAAGGAAGATTGAGTATGATCTGGAGAGTGATTATTATCAAATGAGAAAACAAATTAGATATAATAATGCATCTATTTCCTTATATAAAAGTGTGCTTTTCATCATTCTTATAAGAGCTGTGGTGGTGTGGTGGTTAGAGTGCAGTGTTGCAGACTACTTCTGCTGACTGCCAGCTGCCTGCAATTTGGCAATTTGAATCTCACTATGTTCAGGGTTGACTCAGCCTTCCATCCTTCTGAGGTCAGTAAAATGATGACCCAGATTGTTGGAGGCCAAAGGCTGACTCTGTAAACCACTTAGAGAAGGCTTAAGCATTGTGAAGTGGTATATAAGTCAAAGTGCTATTGATATTGCTTTCATAGCTGACATCTTGCTTTTAGCCTGTTTGAATCTTAATGCTAAATTACAATTCAAAATGTATCATTAAGAGGTATATTTTTGATATTTCAATTAATATAGGAAGATAACGGTTGCTATTGTATCATCATTCATAGGAATGTTGAAATTTTGTATTTTTTTTACCCAAACCAGCAATTGTGTGCTCCATCCTGTCAGAGATCTAACTTGATCTCTTTTACTCTGTTGTTATTGCTTATGGTCATGTTATTTTCCTTTATTTTATTTTATTTTTTATTTTCTCCCATTGCTGCTAAAACACTTGTTCAATATTTGTCTCAAAATCCTATCATGCTCATTAGATTTTAGATTTAGATTTTAGATTTTATTGAACTTCTATACCACCCTTCTCCCAAAGGACTCAGGGCGGTGTACAGCCATATTAAAACACATATAAACCACAAAATTTAAGAACAATTTAAAACAAATATATAAAATTTGGCCCACAAAATTAACACGCAATTTAAAAAATCCTATTAGGCCAGCCCGGCTTGTTGGAATAAAAGAGTCTTCAGGGCGCGGTGAAAGGTACGCAGGTTGGGGATCATATGAACTCCTAGGGGCAGCTCATTCCAGATGGCTGGCGCCCCCACATAGAAGGCTCTCCCCCTGGGTGTCGCCAGTTGACATTGTCTGGCCGACGGCACCCTGAGGAGCCCCTCTCTGTGGGAGCGTATTGGCCGGTGGGAGGTTATTGGCGGCGGAAGGCGGTCTCGTATATACCCCGGTCCTAAGCCATGGAGTGCTTTAAAGCTGGTAACCAAGACCTTGAATCGCACCCGGAAGACCACCGGGAGCCAGTGCAGCTCGTGCCGGAGAGGTGTTATATGGGTGCACCATGTCACCCCCATAATCACCTGTGAGACCGCATTCTGGACCAGTTGGAGCCTCTGAGTGCTCTTCAAGGGGAGCCCCATGTAGAGAGCGTTACAGTAGTCCAGATGGGACATGACAAGGGCATGAGTGACCGTGCGCAGGGCATCCCGGTCCAGAAAGGGACGCAACTGGCGTATCAGGCGAACCTGATAAAAAGCTCCCCTGGCCACGGCCATCATATGATCTTCTAAAGACAGCTGTGCATCCAGGAGAACACCCAAGTTGCGAGCCCTCTCTGAGGGGGCCAAGATCTCACCCCCAATAGTCAGCGATGGAACCAGCTGACTATACCAGGACGCCGGGAGCCACAGCCACTCAGTCTTGGAAGGGTTGAGTCTGAGCTTGTTTCTCCCCATCCAGATCTGCACGGCCTCCAGGCCCCGGGACATCACGTCAAGGGCATCATTGGGATGGTCCGGGAAGGAGATGTACAGTTGGGTGTCATCAGCGTACTGGTGGAAATTCACCCCAAAACCACTTATAGATCCTTATAGATTTTGACTTGGAAAAACATATTTTCATATAGGATATTTGAAACAGGAACACTAAATATGGAAGACATGTAAAGCGGTTGTCACTTTTTCTCAGTCCAACAACCCTCAAAGTGCTTCTAGTTTGAATTCCTGGAAGTAAAACAAAATAGAATATGAATCTAGTAGAAGTATCTGTAGATGAATAAATATGAACAATGTCCTACAAAATATCTTCTTTCGGAGATTCTTTAGGGAACAAAAACATTATTTCTTGCATAGTTTTTATAATTAAAATATAATTATCAAAAACATTATATTTATTTTATAAATAATCTCCATTATAGTCACTACAATAGTGTATATTTCTTATCAGTAAGTCCACCAACATCATTGGAAGGAAATATAGATAGAATTAGATATATGGATAGAAGAGCCTCGGTGGTGCAGCGGATTAAAGTGCTGTTAAGTGCTAGCACTTAGCTGCCAGTTGCCTGCAATTAGTGCAAGTTTGAATCTCACTGGGCTGAAGGTTGACTCAGCCTTCCATCCTTTCGAGGTAGGTAAATTGAGGACCCGGATTGTGGGGGCAATAAGCCAACTTTGTATAGAACACCGCCGCTTGGGGGGGCTGAAAGCCCTAATAAGCAGGTATATACAAAAAAGTATGCAGTCTATTTCTATAATGCATTGTAAGCCACCCTGAGTCTACAGAGAAGGGCGGCATATAAATTGGACTAATAAATAAATAAATTACATTTTAAATTTAACTTGCAAGAAAATCCCATAATACAAATTACATTATTTTTACTCTTGTCTCCAATTGTTTTTGACACAGCTGATTGAAAAATAAAATAAAATAGTAAAATAAAATAAAATAAAACGAGATGTCCTAAGCTGAACTTGTAGTTTCTAAGACAGTCTTTTCAAGGAACATAGGACTGCATTTATTTAATAAAACCAATTAGATATATCTCCTTCTGAATCCATATATTTCCATGGCATTTTCAAAAGAGAAATCATTTTGGCCAACACTTGTGAAGGAAGTTGGAGATAACCTTCTTCTGTTTTGAAGTGCTTGAAGGCCACCTACATTTCTTGGCCAGGATGAAGTGTGTCACCTCACTTTATCTTGACAAAACAAATCACAACAACACAACAACACAAATAATGAAATGAATAAGTTGTTTCAAAGTTTAATAAAAAAAGATATGTTTCAATTAATGTTAAAGACACAAGTGATTGTCCATTGATTTTCAGTGTGGTTTAGTTTGTACTTTAGCATAAATTCAAATGACTATATTATGACCTTTGGCAAAGACTTAAATAACTTTTTGAATAAGTGTTGAATGAATGTAATTGTCAGCTTGTGTAAAGAATTCTAATTAAATTATTTCTCCACCAAAAAAACACATTCCTTTGTTTGTATTGTAGTTAATGTAACAGTGAGGTCAATTGGTAGTATAATTAAAAATTAATAATCACAGAATTAATTATTTTATATTACATTTTATATCTTATTTAACTCAATTTAACATTTATTCTATTAATCTGATTTGTACTCTTTTTTTCTTATCAGCAAATATTTTGATCATGGAATAATTACTTACAATGCTGAAAATTCATGATTAATTAAGAAAAAGCTACAAAT